CAGTGTGATCAATAAGATGCAACTCTATTGCATGACCTATATATTTATGGTTCAAGACAGGGCATTCACACCAGGTGCTATTATTGTATTGCCTGTTGTCATTTTTTAAATTTGACAGTCTAAGGGAAAAGAGCTCAGTGCCCCTGACTAAATAGTCAGGTATTGCATGTTTTAAATAAACACTACTATACTTTTTGGAAATTTTTCAGCCAGCAGTGAACTTGAGCCATCCCTCCTTGACTTGCATTTGTGCCTTAAAAGACTTAGTAAGAACTTGACTAGTCATTCATCTGGGAGAGTAAAGACAATATATGATGGTTAATTTTATGTGTCAATCTGACTGGGCTTCAGGTTGCCCGAATATTTGGTTCAGCATTATTCTTGGTGTGTCTGTGAGGGTATTTCTGGAGGGATTAACAGTTGAATCAGACTGTGTAATGAAGATTGCCCTTCCCAGTGTGCCTCATCCAATTCATTGAAGCCTGACACAGAAAAAAGGTTCAGTAAGGGAGAACTCACTCTCTCCACCTAACTATCTTTAATCTGGGACATTGATCTCCTCCTGCCTTTGGATGAGGACTCGAACTGGAATTCACACCTTTGGTTCTCCAGCTTCTCAAACCTTCAGAGTTTCCAGCTTGCCAACTGCAGATATTAGGATTTCTCAGCTTCCCTAATTGTGTGAGGCAATTTCTTTTTTTAAACTATTATTATTATTAATCTTTACCCAAGAATATGTTTTTATTGATTTTTAGAAAGAAGGGGGAGAGAGAGGAGAGAGAGAGAGAAGAGAAACATCAGTGTGAGAAACATCCATCAGTTGACTCCCATATGTGCCCCAACCAGATCGAACCCCTGAAATCTAGGTATGTGCCCTGACCAGAATTAAACCCGAAACCTTTTGGTGTATAGGATGACACTCCAACCAACTGAACAACCTGGGCAGGGCATGAGCCAATTTCTTAAAATCAATCTCCCTCTCTAGCCCTCAACTCCTCCTCCCCTCCCCATCTCTGCTCAATACAAATTTTGGTACTGAAAGTGGTTCAAGAGAAACAGAATGTTAAGGATGAATTTTCTGAATTGGTTCTGGGGTTCCTGTAATTTCTCTCTAATCTGATTAAAGATGCTAATGATTATGTTTCTAGTAGTAAAGATAGCACTGACAGTCCATGGTGTGATTGGACAATAGAAATCCATAAAATATCTTCATTGGATACACCTAATCAACCACTTAAAAGAGTCAAGGATCTGAGTGACTGTGTATATAATACTTTTGAAAATTTTTGAAAAATTAACTAATATAATGAGATTGCTGGTTGCTTATAATGTTGCAGACAAAGTGATGAAAGAAAAGAATGAGCTCTGGGATTTTAAAAAATACCTTTATTGTTGAAAGTATTACATGAACTCCCCCCTTTCCCCCCATTGACCTCTTCCAGTCCACTCCTGTCCCCTCCCCTCCCGAGGCCATCACCACCCCATTGTCTGTGTCCAAAGGTGATGCATATATACATACAAGTTTATTAGTTGATCTCTTCCCACCCACCCTCCCCTGCCTTCCCTTTGAGGTTCAACATTCTGTTCACGCTTCTATGTCTCTGGGTCTATTTTTGTTCATCAGTTTATTTGGTTCATTAGATTCCACATATGAGTGAGATCATGTGACACTTATCTTTTTCTGACTGGGTTATTTGGCTCAGCTTAATATTCTCCATCCATGCTGTTGCTAATAGTAAGAGTTCTTTCTTTTTTATTGCTGCATAGTATTTCATTGTGTAAATGTATCACAATTTTTTTATCCACTCATCTGCTGATGGGCATTTAGGCTGTTTCCAAATCTTAGCTATTATAAATTGCACTGCTATGAAGATACGGGTGCATATATTCTTGCTGATGAATGTTTTGGATGAGCTCAGGGATTTGAATTCCCAGCTCAAGCACCACATAAATAACCTGAAAGCTTCAATGTGTACCCTGAAGGAAGCCCTGTTTACTGTAGCCCTGGGGCTAAGATTACTACAAATCAAACATAAACTCTTCTCCCATAATTTGCTGAATTACAACACAAGTTGAACTCCCAGCCTCATAGGCTTTTAAAGTGAGAGTTTTCTGGGCACACTGAGCTCCTAAATTCAGATGAATCTTCTTTGTCAGTGGAAGTGGCCTCCCCCAGTAGAACCAGTCTCCTCTTCAGTGGTAGCAACCCTTCCATCACCTACCCCACTCTGAGGGAATTAACTCTACTTGTCTGAGGAAAGTAATGGCTTCCCTTAGGGCTGTTCCTCCCAAGACGATGCTAATTCTCCTCAGGACCCACTCACCACTCTCTTTGTTTCTAGACCTATAAGTAGGCTCAAATTCCAGTAGGCCCACAGTGGTGAGGTAGAAAGTGTGACCTATAAGGAGGTGTGCTATACTCCAAAAGAACTACTTAAGTTTCATAATTCACTAGAGGCCCGGTGCACGAATTCATGCACCAGTGGGGTTCCTCGGCCTGGCCTGGGGGATCGGGCTGAAACAGGCTCTCTGACATCCTTTGAGGGGTCCCGGATTGTGAGAGGGCACAGGCCAGGCCAAGGGACCCACCGGTGCACGATCGGGGCTGGGGAGGGATGCAGGGGGTTGGTCAGCTGAGGAGGTACCACAGGAGGCTCCAGGGCATGTCTGGCCCATCTTGCTCAGTCCCAATCAGCTGGACCCCAGTAGCAAGCTAACCTACCAGTCGGAGTGTCTGCCCCTGGTGATCAGTGCACATCATAGTGAGTGGTTGAGCAGCCTTAGCATATCATTAGCATATTATGCTTTGATTGGTTGAACGGACAACCAGATGACTGGACACTTAACATATTAGGCTTTTATTATATAGGATATGAACAAAAATCCAGGGAACATGTGTAAGAATGGATTTTAAGGATGTGGGATCATGGTGGAAAAAAAACATAAAATTGTATCAGGCCAAGCCCTAGCTGGTTTGGTTCAGTGGATAGAGCATCGGCCTGTGGACTGAAGGGTCTCGGGTTCAATTCTGGTCAAGGGCACATGTCTGGGTTGCGGGCTCACTCCCCAGTAGGGGGTGTGCAGGAGGCAGCCAATCAATGATTCCCTCTCATCATTGATGTTTCTATCTCTCTCTCTCCCTTCCTCTCTGAAATCAATAAAAATATATTTTTAAAAATTGTATCAGGCCAAAATTATCAATGTCTGTCATATTATAGGCCCATAGGAGGGGCTGGGTCTGGCTGGAGTATCTGTTACACTGTAAAATCTCCAGAGTAAATTTGTGAATCTGGTTCAAATAGCCCCTGTCCTCCTTTTCTCTCACAGCTCGTAAGTATCCCTCCTTAAGCAGGAAGGGGGTTTGAAAAGCACAGATAGGGAGAGTGTGTTCTTTATTCAACAGTGGGTGAGGGCTAGATACTCAATAAATTGTGGGATTTTTTTTTCTTCTTTTCTATATAATCATTTTCCAATATTCACCTCTTCTTTTCTTTGGCCATCTCTTCTTTAGCTATTTTGTTTTCCCCCAATCCCTGTAAACACACACACACACACACACACACACACACACACACGACAAATAGATCAAGGCCAAGGTTCTAATCCTTTACTCTAAAGTTCATTACCAGGGTGCTCCAGACTAGTTTAATTTTCTTCTTGCCTGGTCTCATATTTAAATTTATTCCTTGTATATGATCAAAGCTTAAAGCAGCTCTCATCACGCACTTGTCCTTTATACATCCAGTATTAAGGCCCTTTCCCAAGCTGTGGCACAAGAATGCAACCTTTGTTTTCAACACATGCATCGTCTTCTATCTTTCCTATTAGTTTATCCAGCTGATCTCAGAGGCCTACTGGCTTTTACTGGCCCTATGCTCGCAGACATAGAATTTCTTCAATTATGTGCATGGATCGGATGCATGATTCAATACATTACTTGCCATTTCATTCTTACAATATCTTACTGTTTATTTTTCTTCAGCAAATATTCATTCAGCCGAAGCCTATTGAAATTTGTCCATAGCACTGTGCTAGATGTTGTGGATATAAAACAAATAAAGCACTATTTCAGCCTAGGAGCTGCTCATAGTCTAGAAAGAAAAGGCAGCATGTAAACATGTATATTATACTGTGATGTCAAGCAAAATGAATTTCCTCTGGAGGAGTTGATAGAAGGCCTCAGAGGATGTGACACTTCTAATAGTCTTGAAACCTACTAGTAAGTGGGAGTTGGCCCATCAGAGGATGGATGGGGAGAGAGTGAGGGTAAGGGCAGAATAGAGCATCAGAGTGAAGAGGATCCTGTGTGCAGAGGCACTGAAAAAAATTGAGGAAGATACTGATATTTTTGGGGAGATCTGATGGGCTCAGTGTAGTTGAATGTGCGTTGGATTGAATAGTGGTGATCAAATTGAGAGGACCTGTGTAGAAAGGATTGAATTTTATTCCAGAGGCAGGAAGAGAGAGAGAGGAAACTGTTCAAGCAGAGGAGTTTAACAATCAGGTTTGTCTCTTACAAGTCTAATGTCACTAATCTAATTACATGGACTCCAGGTTTTGGAGTCTGAGTGTCCTTTGTTTACTTAATCAGAGTTGCTCAGGGTAGCCTCTCAGTTGAGTTACCGCTTTTTCCTCAGGTCTAGAAACAGCATGTTTTCAGTATACCCAAGGGCTACTTAGTCTGATCCCAGTGCCCACTTGTGCTAATTCCCATAATTTATTTATTACTACAACACTGTCCTCCAAATGCTGTCTCTCCTTGGCCAGGTTGGACATATATTGACAGCCTTTGTCTCTTTGAGCTCTATTTTTCTGTCATGACCCTTTCCTCTTGCAGTTCTGTTGGCCTAGTAGTCTTTAAATGAATTGCCTGCCTAAGTTCTTTGGCCCATCCCCTCTGTTTAAGCTCTAGGACGCAGCCAGCACCAGTAGCCACGCCCACTCAAAAAAAGTTTGCCGACAGGAAGTTTGTCTGCACCAGCGAGCCGTACTGACGGCGGAAGTGCGCAAGCGCAGTTCCGGGCTCCCAGCGGCGGGGTCCTCTTTCCCGGGGTTCCCACCTTCCTGGCAGCTGGGTGCCGAGGCGTGGGCTTCTCTCCGCGGCTCGCGTCGTACTCCGGACACTCGCCCCCAGCACCCAGCCCCCAGCCCCCGAGCCCCCAGCACCCGAGCCCTGCTGTGGCTCGCACGCCTCTTCCGGCAACACACCCATGGCGGAGCGTGGGGAACTCGACCTGACCGGCGCCAAGCAGAACACCGGAGTGTGGCTGGTCAAGGTAAGGCTCGCGCGGCTCTGGCTTGCGCTCCTCCCGGTGTGAGTAGTGCAAGTTACTTCGTGCGCCTTTTAAAGTTCCTTATGGTCCTCTTCACACATCTTGGGAGGCAGGACTCGTTGCTACGCTCGCTTTCAGACCAGGACATTAGTTTAGGGCACTGCAGTGTCTTCAGCCCGAGTCCGAACGGGCCTGGGATGGCTTTCCGTCCCCCACCACCCGGGTTTTCTGGGGCTCTGTCTTGGTGTCCCGATTAGAGCGGTGCAGTTTACCCCAGGCCGAACAAATTCTACACCTTTTGGTGAAACTGATTTTGGGCTTAAACCTGTAAAGGAAGTGGAGAGTGTCTGCTTCCTGTAGAGTTTCCCTGCCAGAAAGTAGCACTGCTCTCCGCGTCCCCGCACAGGGGCTCGCGGCCGATGGCCCTGCTGGAGGTCGCGGAGAGCCAGGCAGCGCCGAGCCCACGCAGGGAGAGCCATTGGATTGGAGTGTTCTTCCAGAGCACGGCTGGGGCTCCTGAAGCAGACCGTCAAGAGAAGTGTTTTGTAAAGAGAGCAATCTTGATTAGCTCTTAGCGAGCACAGTATTTGTGCTGTACTTTTTCACACCGGTGAGTTGTTTCTTTGAGAACTTCATAAGATATATGTATGTTCAAAATGTGATTATGAGTCTTTGAGCCTCTAGGAAAATGGTTTGTTAAATTTTATAAAACTTTTATCATATGGCTGGGTTATCAGGTAGATCTGAGAGGCTCTTCCTGTCCACCTTCCTAAAGCAGCTCATTTGCCAGCCAGTCAAACCTGGTATTCTTCAGAGCACTTTTCACTTCTGAAGTGATTCTGTGTTCACGTGTTCAGTGTTGGTTACCTCCCTCTCCCTGCACTTGCGCACCCACGCACATTCCATGAGCATAGGATCCTTGCCTGTCAAGCCCAGAATTATGTTTGGCCCATGATGATTGCTCAACAGATATGTGATGAATGGATGAATGATGCCTTACTTTTCAACCCTAGCCTTAGTCTCTGGCACTCATTTGACTTACCACAGCTGCCTCAGTATGACTTGAAAATATGGAATAAACTAGAGGCCTGGTGTACGACATTCGTGCACTGGGGGGTGTGGGGGTTCCTTAGCCCGACCTGCACCCTCTCCAATCTGGGAGCCCTCAGGTGAGCCCTCTCCATTCCGGGAGTTTCTGTCTGTCTTTGCAATCATATGAGCGAATTGTCTGCAACCCCAACTCAATTTGGTTTGTTGCTCACAGAATAATAGAGGCATTTTTTTTCCCCTTTGCTCCATTGGTGGAGATTTCCTGGAAGTTTTAGGATATCTTCCCCTTAATTTTTGCTAGACACTCTGATTTTACTTATGTCTCTCACCTTTGCTTTCCCTCCATCCCCCACCGCAACAGTAACTTGCTCCAGGCTCACTTTGCTCTAGTGCAGTGGTTCTCAACCTTGGCTGCACATTAGAATCACCTGGGAATCTTTTTAAAATCCTGATTTCTGGGTCTCATCCTCCAGAAATTCTGTTTCTTTGTTATGGGGTGAAGACACAACATTAGTAACAAAGAAACAATTTCCAGAGGATGAGGCCCAGAAATCAGGATTTTAAAAAGATTCCCGGTGAGGTTGAGACAGCCTTGGTGAGGTTGGGACGGCCCCTGTGAGGCTGGGACGGCCCCTGTGAGGCTGAGATGGCCCCTGGGAAGCCAAGAAAAATACCACATGAACTCACTCATTTATGGATAATAAGGATCATTATAGACTGATGAACAAAAGTGGATACAGAGGCAGAGCAGCATTGAGCAGACTGTCAAACTACAGTGGGAAGCCTGGGGAGGATTGGAGAGGGGTAGGAGATCAACCGAAGGACTTGTATGCATGCATATAAGAATAACCAATGGACACAAGACACTGGGGGGTGGGGGTTGCTGGGGAAATGTCAAGGGGGGGGAAAGGAGACATGTGTAATACTCTTTGTAATACAGTGGGGTCTTGACTTACGAGTGTCCCGACTAACAAGATACAAGCCTTCTCGGCCGATTTTTTGCTTTGAGTTGCGAGCTAAAATTCGGGTTACGAGCCAGCTTCAGATACCTGACCGCTAGTTGGCGCAGCGAACGTCACAGTGAACGCCACAGCATCAGCCGAGCATCACGTGTCTCACTCGTTCACAATTGATTTGACATACGAGTAATTTGAGTTACGAGCTCCGTCACGGAATGAATTAAACTCGTAAGTCAAGGCCCCACTGTACTTTAAGAAATTAAAAGAAAAAAAATTAAATAAATAAAAAGATTCCCAGGTGATTCTAATGTGCAGCCAGGGTTGAGAACCACTGGTCTAGGATAGTCGTTGGCAAACTCATTAGTCAACAGAGCCAAATATCAACAGTACAACGATTGAAATTTCTTTTGAGAACCAAATTTTTTAAACTTAAACTATATAGGTCGGTACATTGTAATTAACTTCATTGGGGTACTCCTAAGGCTTAGGAAGAGCCACACTCAAGGATCTAAAGAGCCGCATGTGGCTTGCAAGCTGCAGTTTGCTGACCACTGCTCTATACCTTTCAATCTCTAGTGCAGGACACTGTTAAAGGCTGTTTCTGACTAATTGGATTAGACAAAGACTCAAAGCCTCCAGAGACCACCTCTGTCTACAGACTAATTGGATTTTGAATCACCCCCAGGCAGTTATCCTTGGGTGTGGTGAGAGTTTTTTTAAACAGGGTGGGGCAGTTGCTTCTACCTGGAGGCTAATTGTTACTTTTAATCTCTTAAGTGGCCTCAGGGCAAGGTGTTTTCCAATAGAATGTGTCAACTGTCTTCCCCCCAGGCAAGGCAAATGACTGTGGGAAAGATGTCCTCCGCTGTGTGAGGGAATGACTCAGCCCAGGAAACTTGGGGTGTCTGCCTTCTGAGCTCTGTCCCCTAAGTCCCCAATCCTGGGTTCTGCTCTCACAGCTCCAGTCCGCTTCATCCTCCTTCTGCCAGAGCACTAGGTAAATGGCTCCACAGGGAATTTTTGTGCATTGGCCCTTTAAGAGGGTTCCTGAACTTTCAGTTCCACTCCCTGGCAGACAGCACCCCACTGCTTTTCACAGCCAGATGTTATGTGGGTACCTTCCTCAGTTTGGTGCTCTCTGCTGGGGAGCCCAACTTCGGGATTAGATCCCAGAGTTCTCAGTGGCAACCCCCTCCCCACCCACAGCTGAGATATCTTTCTGGGATTTCAGTAGCTGTCTGTGGGTGCCTGGCCAGCCCTTTCACGCCTCCGCCCCTCCTACGAGTCTCTATGAGGTCTCCACCTTCAGTCCTTGGGTATTAGGGTTCTTTCCTGTGAGTTTTCCATTGATTATTCAGGAAGCCTTTATGTATTTCAGTTGTAATTCCAGCTTGTTCCTCGGAACATGTACGTTCAGCATCCTCCTACTCTGCTGCCATTTTTAAAAATTAAATCTTTATTGTTCAGATTATTACAGTTGTTCCTCTTTTTCCCGCCCATAGCTCCCCTCCACCCGGTTCCCACCCCACCCTCCGTCCTCAACCCCCCCCCCCACTGTCCTCAACCATAGGTGTACGATTTTTGTTCAGTCTCTTACCGCATCCCCGACACCCCTTTCCCCCCCAAGAACAGTCAGTCCACTCCCTTTCTATGCCCCTGATTCTATTATAATCACCAGTTCATTCTGTTCATCAGATTATTCACTTGATTTTCAGATTCACTTGTTGATAGATGTGTATTTGTTGTTCATAATTTGTACCTTTACCTTTTTCTTATTCTTCCTCTTCTTAAAGGATACCTTTCAGCATTTCATATAATACTGGTTTGGTGGTGATGAACTCCTTTAGCTTTTCCTTATCTGTGAAGCTCTTTTTCTGACCTTCAATTCTGAATGATAGCTTTGCTGGGTAAAGTAATCTTGGTTGTAGGCTCTTGGCATTCATCACTTTGAATATTTCTTGCCACTCTCTTCTGGCCTGCAAAGTTTCTGCTGAGAAATCAGCTGACAGTCGTATGGGTACGCCCTTGTAGGTAACTGACTGTCTTTCTCTTGCTGCTTTTAAGATTCTCTCTTTGTCTTTTGCTCTTGGCATTTTAATTATGATGTATCTTGGTGTGGTCCTCTATGGATTCCTTTTGTTTTGGGTTCTCTGCGCTTCCTGGACTTGTAAGTCTATTTCTTTCACCAGGTAGGGGAAATTTTCTGTCATTATTTCTTCAAATAGGTTTTCAATATCTTGCTCTCTCTCATCTTCTGGCACCCCTATAATTCTGATGTTGGTATGCTTGAAGCTGTCCCAGAGCTCCTTACACTATCTTCGTATTTTCGGATTCTTTTTTCATTTTGCTTTTCTGGTTGGGTGTTTTTTGCTTCTTCGTATTTCAAATCTTTGACTTGATTCTTGCGATCCTCTAGTCTCCTGTTGGAACTCTGCATAATATCCTTTTTTTCAGTCAGTGTATGCTTAATTTCTACTTGGTCCTTTTTCATAACCTCGAGGGTCTCACTAGATTTCTTGAGGGTCTCACTACATTTATCGGCTGTCTCACCAGTCTCTTTGAGGGTCTTACTAAATTTATCGGCTGTTTCTAGAAAGTTCTTGAAAAACCTTAAAAGTGTGGTTTTGAACTCTATATCCAGTAGTTTGCTTTCCTCCATTTCATTCTTTTGTGTCTTGTTTCTTTGTCTCCGCATTTTTTATGCTTCCCTGTGTTGATAGAGTGGCTTCCTGTGCTAGGTGTCCTATAGGGCTCAGTGGCTCAGCCTCCCCAATTACCTGAGGTGGACACTCTTGGTGCACCCCTTTGTGGGCTTTGTGCACAGTCTTGTTGTAGTTAAGCCTTGATTGTTGTAGGTATCACTGGGAGGAATTGACCTCCAGGCCAATTGTCTGTGAGAATCAGCTGTGTCTGCAGTGGGAGAACTTCTGTGCTGAAGACACCCTTCTGGGGCAAGACTTGCTTCAGTGGGGCTTTGGTGCGCACTGAGTCTGCCCCCTGAGTGTGGCCTTTATGGATCTGAGGAGTTGTAATCTGGATGGTCCCACTCTGACCACTAGGTACACGGGCTCTTGGATCTCTAAGGAGGTGCTAATTTAGTCTCTGCCTGAGCTACCCAGCAGAAGCTATGGAGAGATCTGCAGATTCCTGATCTTTGTTTGGGGTTTGGAGGTGCCCAGATGAGGCCCAGCTGTGAAGCAATGCAAGCTGCTGTGGGGCCTTGGGCCTTCTTTTTGGATGTTCTGGGTCTCTCTGACCCAGCTGCAGTTAGTTAGGTAAATTTAGATTGCAAAGGGCCAGGGCATTCATATGCAAAAGCCTCTGCGCACAGCTTGGGTGAGGCGGGGTCTCGGGATCAACAGGGCGGAGCAAGCAGCTATGGCTTATCCTCAGCCCTGCCCTAAGAGGCCACGTGTCTCAGTGTCCCCGTAATCGCTGCAAGCACCTCCGAGAGAAAGCCGCCCTCGAGTTCTGCCTACTGCCAGACCGTCCAGTTTCTCCCCGTATGAGTCTGGGTCCCCAGAGACTCACCCGAAACTGGAGTCGGGGCCGTCGGGAGCTTGTGTCTCCCTCCCGATTGAAAAAGACACCGGTGTCCTTAGTTGCCAGCCCTTTCCGCGTGTGTCTCCGTACCTCTGCCCTTTACTTCCGCATCTCCTCTGAGTTTCAGTGTGCTTTTCTCTTTCCTTCTAGTTGTAGAATTTCCACTCAGCCAGCCTTCCTGTGGTTCCGGATGATGTCCGTTTTGTCTTTTAGTTGTATTTTTGAAGTGGTTGTGCGAGGTATCAATTTCAGGTGTTCACCTATGCCGCCATCTTATGCTTCTTTGAGAAGTCTTTTCTGGTAGCCTTTCTCATCTCTGAACTTTGACTTAGTTGGGACATAATTTAATACTTCATTTTTGTTATGTTCTTTGATCTCTGTTAGTTTTGTGTCACCAACTTGATTGACTTCAAGCTCTTTGAGAATTAAAGTAATTTCTTACATATCTTAATATCTTTATAGTGCAAAACATATAACGAGAGCTTGATACTAATGATTATTTATCACAGGCAGAAAGTAAAATAGAAGCAGTATATCATTTTATGTTTTAAAAGATTTCTTATTAGCATGGAAGGACCTGGAGAGTATTGTGCTAAGTGAAATAAGTCAGAAAAGGACAAGTATCACATGATCACACTCATATGTGGAATCTAAGTAACAAAATAAACTGATGAACAGAATAGTTCCAGAGAACATGGAAGCATGGAATAGAGTTTGGACTTTCAGAGGGAAGGTGGGTGAGGGTGGCTGGGTAGGAGTTAATCAACCAAAGACCTTGAATACATATATGCATAACTCATGGACACATAATAGGAGCTAAAGGCCTTGGTGTGGGGCTGGGGGCAGGCTGGAGGAGGTCAATGGGGGAGAAATGGGGACATATGTAATATGTTCAACAATAAATAGTTATTTTTAAAAAAAAAGATTTGTTAGTGTCCAAAATGTAGTCTTATTAGTATTTTACTTTGTTTTAGGTTCCTAAATATTTGTCACAGCAGTGGGCTAAAGCCCCTGGAAGAGGTGAAGTCGGGAAACTGCGGATTGCTAAGTAAGTTATATATTTTTGACATTTTAAAAAGCTGTTTAAAAAATTTTCATAAGTGCTTTTATTTTTTATTTTTATTTTCTTTTTTAAAAAAAATATATTTTATTGATTTTTTACAGAGAGGAAGGGAGAGGGATAGAGAGTTAGAAACATTGATGAGAGAGAAACATCGATCAGCTGCCTCCTGCACACTCCCCACTGGGGATGTGCCTGCAACCAAGGTACATGCCCTTGACCTGAATCGAACCTGGGACCCTTGAGTCCACAGGGCGATGCTCTATACACTGAGCCAAACTGGTTAGGGCTTCATAATTGCTTTTAAATGGAATTACAGTCCTAGCCGGTTTGGCTAAGTGGATAGAGCTTTGACCTCTGGTTTGAAGGGTCCCTGGTTCGATTCCGGTCAAGGGCACCTGACCAGGTTGCGAGCTCTATCCCCAGTAGGGGGCTTGCAGGAGGCAGCCGATCAATGATTCTATATCATCATTGATGTTTCTATCTCTCTCTTCTCCCTCCCTTTCTGAAATCACTAAAAATATATTTTTAAAAATTGTCATTCTTAGGAATTCGGTTTGAAATTTATTTTTAAAAACATGGAATTTCACTCCTTTTCAGAATTTTACCTGGAAAATGAGATGTAATGAGCATGTCAAAGTTAGTCAAGAGATGGTTAGATGCCCTGTAGAGAGCCATGTGTGCACATGGGTAAATGCCCAAACACACTCGCACTGCCCCCCTACTGACAGGTGTAAATATAAAGTCAAATTTATTGCTAAAATTTATAGGCAGTAAAGCAGCAGAATATGTAGTTCCCTCATTTCTCCATCCTTTCCACATCCTGTGAGATGGTGTACTTGGATTGGCATAACTGGATGTGTCAAATTAAGTTCTTCAGTAGAAGGATTTTGCCATTGTGCCACGAAGTTTAAAGTGGTGTCACTTTAGAGTTTCTTCATTACAGGTAGGGAATACCTGGTAAACAATGTAACAGTGTAGCTTCCTGGTGGAGAAAATGGCCTTATTAGAAAGGGAATCCTACCAAGCTCAGCCAGTGGCAGCCAGAGGCCTTGTGTTCTATTCTTTCTTTCCATTCATTCTTAGTCTAACTCTAGCCAGATTTCCATGCCTGCTTTGAAACAGCTTCTGTTTTTATCACCATTGTCCTTTTCTTTATCAAGATTTTGCTTCAAAGCAAACCACCCCAAAATGTAGTGGCTTAGAACAAAAACATTTTATTTGCTTATCATTCTTTGGGGCAGTCCTGGTTATGGCTGGCTTGGCTAATTTTCCTGGCTAGAATGGCCTCACTTGTGTCTTGTCTTTGGCTTGCTGTCAGCTGGGGCAGTGGCCATGTGTATTTCATCTCCAGCATGCCTGTTCACATGGTGGTGAAAGCAAAAGAGAAGACACCCCAGTCCCCAAGCACTTTGCAAGTCTGTTCTTACATCTTGTTTGCCGAAGCCCTAGTCACCAAGGCTATTCCCACAGAGATGCCCAATTTCAAGGGTGGAGCAATAGATTCCACCTCGTAGTGTGAGTTACTGCAAGAATTTGTGGTCCATTTTTGTAGTCTTCCACATCTGTATTCCTAAATCTAACAGCCAGCTAGCAGCCCTCTTAATTGACCTTTAACAGAATTTAACATAGATGACCACTTCTATCCCCAAACCCTTTCTTCACTTCACTTCCTGGACACCACTCCCTTGATTCTCCTAGTCACTGAGCCAAACCAGCTAGGGCCAGGGTGCTATTTCTTTATTTTTTTTAATTAAATCTTTATTGTTCAGATTATTACATTTGTTCCTCTTTTTTCCCCCCATAAATCCCCTCCTCCCAGTTCCCGCCCCACCCTCCGCCCTCACTCCCCACCCACTGTCCTCTTCCATAGGTGCACGATTTTTGTCCAGTCTCTTCCCGCATCTCCCACACCCCTTTCCCCCCCCAAGAATAGTCAGTCCATTCCCATCCTATGTCCCTGATTCTATTATGATCACCAGATTATTTGTTCACTTGATTCTTAGATTCACTTGTTGATAGATGCATGTTTGTTGTTCATAATTTGTATCTTTACCTTTTTCTTCTTCTTCCTCTTCTTAAAGGATACCTTTCAGCATTTCATATAATACTAGTTTGGTGGTGATGAACTCCTTTAGCTTTTCCTTATCTGTGAAGCTCTTTATCTGACCTTCAGTTCTGAATGATAGCTTTGCTGGATAAAATAATCTTGGTTGTAGGTTCTTGGTATTCATCACTTTGAATATTTCTTGCCATTCCCTTCTGGCCTGCAAAGTTTCTGTTGAGAAATCAGCTGACAGTCGTATGGGTATTCCCTTGTAGGTAACTGGGTTTCTTTCTCTTGCTGCTTTTAAGATTCTCTCTTTGTCTTTTGCTCTTGGCATTTTAATTATGATGTGTCTTGGTGTGGTCCTCTTTGGATTCCTTTTGTTTGGGGTTCTCTGCGCTTCCTGGACTTGTAAGTCTATTTCTTTCACCAGGTGGGGGAAGTTTTCTGTCATTATTTCTTCAAATAGGTTTTCAATATCTTGCTCTCTCTCATCTTCTGGCACCCCTATAATTCTGATGTTGGTACGCTTGAAGCTGTCCCAGAGGATCCTTACACTATCTTCGTATTTTCGGATTCTTTTTTCATTTTGCTTTTCCAGTTGGGTGTTTTTTGCTTCTTCGCATTTCGAATCTTTGACTTGATTCTTGCGATCCTCTGGTCTGCTGTTGGGTGTCTGTACAATATTCTTTATTTCAGTCAGTGTACGCTTAATTTCTAGTTGGTTCTTTATCACAACATCGAGGGTCTCATTAGATTTCTTGAGGATCTCACTACATTTATCGGCGGTCTCACCAGTCTTTTCAAGGGCCTTACTAAGTTTATCGGCAGCTTCTAGACAGTTCTTGAGAGACCTTAAAAGTGTGGTTTTGAGCTCTATATCTTCCATTTCTGACATTTGCGTCCTGTTTCTTTGTCTCCGCATTTTTTTATCTTTTCTTGGTGCACCCCCCAGTGGTCTTTGCGCGAAGTCTTGTTGTAGTTAAGCCCTGATTGTTGTCGGCAATACCAGGGGTGATTTGACTTCCAGGCTAACTGGCTATGAGAGTCAGCTGTGTCTGCAGTGGGAGAGCTTCTGTGCTGGATCTCTAGGGCGGTGCTAATCTAGCCTTTGTCTGAGGCTATCCGGCAAATGGTTCTGCGCAGGGCTTGGGCGGGGCGGGTCCCCGGGGATCTACAGGGCGGGCCGGATCGAGCAGTTATGGCTGCTCTCAGTTCCGTCCCTAGGGGCTCTGCCTCACAGAGTCCCAGCAACCGCTGCAAACCTCGGAGAGAAAGCTGCCTTCGAGTTCCGACCGAAGCCAGACAGTCCCGCTTCTCCCGTTTGAGTCTGGGTCCCTAGAGACTCGCCCAGATCTGGAGCTCAGGGTCTGAAACTCCCTCCCGACTGAAAACAACAGTCGCGTCCTCTGCCGCCAGCCCGCTCCGCGCGCGCACTCCGCACCTGAGTATTTCACTTCAGCACTGCGCCTCCTCTGAGTCTGGGTATGATATTCTCTTTCCTCCTAGTTGTAGAATTTCTACTCAGCCAGGCTTCCTGTGGTTCTGGATGATGTCCGTTCCGTCTTTTAGGTGTACCCTTGAATTGGTTGTTCGAGGCAGCAATCTCCGGCGTTAACCTATGCCGCCATCTTGGTTTCTCCCAGGGTTCTATTTTATTCTTTAGTTCCAAAAGTGAGATAGTTAGAAAATCAAAATGTGAACATTTTTTTTCTGATTAAAAATATTTATTTATTACTTTTTCGGGGGAGGACGGGGACATAAATTTGTTGTTCCACTTATTTATGCATTCAGTAGTTGTTTATCATATGTATCCTGACCGGACATCGAACCCACAACCTTGGCATATCAAGCCGACACTAACCAACTGAGCTACCTGGCCAGGACAGAATGTGAACATTTTTATTTTTAAGGCATAAGTTTTTCCTGCTGTTTCTCCAAAAGTATATAACTGGACATCTTTTTTGCCTAAAATACCCACTGTTTGTATGCAAGGACTATACCTTTTTGGGGGTGGGAGGGTGTCACTTTAAAGTTTCTTCATTAATCCATTCAGCTGTGGAGTTTGGATTTGGTGGACACCCTCTGGATTTTGTTCTTTGGAGGAGCAATGCTGTATTTTTGGATGATGTCATGTTTTAAACATAGTTTTTATACTAAGTATTTTGTTCTTTATCTTACTTACTTTTGTTTAAAAATATGCTTTAAGCCCTGGCCAGTGTTGCTCAGTTGGTTGAGCATCTTCCCAAGAGATCTCTGGTTCAGTTGCTAATCAGGGCACATGCCCGGGTTGTGGGCTTGATCCCCCAGTAGGAGGCGTCCAGGAGGCCGCCATCGATGTTTCTCTCCCATTTTGTTTTAACAAGATATGGATTGGAAGCAGGCATGCTTTTATGTCCAAAGTTCTTAAGGTTAGGTAGAGACAGGCAATTTCTTTTTTTCTGAAAAAATAACTACCCAGTCAGCTCAGTGGTTAGAGTGTCAGCCTGCAAACCGAAGAGCGTCGGTTCAATTCCTAGTCAAGGGCATGTACCTAGGTTGCAGGCCCAATCACAGCCCGGGTTGGGGTATGTGCAGGAGACAACTGATGGATGTGACTCTCACACATTGATGTTTTTCTCTTCTTCCCCCGCCCCCCTCCAGTTGCTCTAAGAATCAATGGAAAAAATATCCTCAGTTGAGGATTAACAACAAAAACAAAAAAACCCCCACTACATATTTAATAGCGGAACCAGGCTTGAATTCAGACCTTTGAGTGGTTAGAAAACTCGAGCAGGTTCTAGTTCCAGCTCTTTCACTTACTTTGTATAGGTCATGTAATCTGTGTTTAGATCCTTATCCCTAAAATTGCCTGTTTTGTAGGTCTTTTATGTGAATTCAGTGAGATAATATGGAAATTATTTGTTTATTTTACTTACAAAGTGGACATATTCCTGGAAAG